TGAGGTGGATTGATTCAGTGACTGGGATAATTGGGATGGGAGTGTCAGAGACAGTGCGATTGGCACACGACAGAGCAGAGTTTAGGGCTGTTGTACATAGGTTCGCTATGAGTCACAGGCGACTCGACAGCACATAACAACAACAACAACATGGGCTTGGCGCTCTAGTGGTAAGAAGCTGCGCTGCAATCCCAAAGGCACACAGTTTGAATCCACTGAGCTGCTCCTTAGGAGAAAGACAGGCAATCTTCTCCCAAGTGATTAACTGCATCTGTAAACCCTCTGGAGGGTCAGCTATCGGTCAGTTCTGACTCAACAGCACAGAACAACAACATAATCTTAGTTGGAAATGGGATTTCTTTGATATATTAGTGAGGCAGGATAGTGAGTGCAGAGTGTGTCTTAAGACAATCTCTCTTGAGATAGAAAAGAAATAAGACAAGCAAGGTAACACAAGCAAAGATGGAGAAGAGAGACGTCAACACAGACAATGATTACTAAAGAGACAGGAACATGGGTCTACCAGTGGTGAGGAAAGATAATGACATTTCTGCCAAGCAGAGAGAGACGGAAACCTCCCCCTAGGGCTGCATTGTGAAGTCAGCTCCATTCTCCCATTTTTACCTTGAGTCAGCATGACTTGGTCTTGCAATTTCTTGTACCTGTTCAGGCACTGTCGGAGATCTTCTATTTTCTGATCCTAAGGATAAAACAAATGGTCATCTTTAATATGATGACTGTAAAATGGGAAAAGTAATGGTAACACAAAAAATAAGCAGACACAAGTTATTTACATCTTCAGTGTACATTCTAAACTTTAGTAAAAATGGTACTATCTATTTTTTCCTACATACATTAGAGACATGGAAAAAGTACCTCTAAAATTAGAGCTCCTATCCTTCAGCTGCCATCTTTAAAAGACAAAAACAAAACAAAGTAATAAGATAAAAAACAACCAAAAAAAATAAAAAAACAACCCAACTTTAATCACTCTCCTCTGAACTTCATCCAGGGAGCTTGGGTGGCATATTCTGTAAGGAACTGTGCTACTAACCCAAAGGTGGTGTGTCTCTGATGGTTCAAATCCACCAGCAGCTCCATGGCAGAAAGATAGGCAATCTCCTCCTGTAAGATTTGCAGCCTTGATTTCAGAAGCCGCGGGTAAACCTATACAGTTAGCCCACTGGAGGGTTAGCTATGTATGAGTCAGCTGACTTCAGAGTAAATGAGTTTGAGTTCTAATTTTACATAGAAGATGTTTTAAACAACATACAATATACCTGCTATCTTTTTCTTTCTCAAAATATTCCAGTAAAGTTGCCTTGGTTCGTTATTAGTGATGCCCTCTTTCCTAATAAACATTTTTCATTATTTTCCTAATTTGATGTCTATAATGTCACTGGAATCACCCTGATAAACTCCTTTCACTTCTATTTTTACTATCTTATCTTGATTTTTAATTTCTAGAGAACTTAGATATTCTACTTCTAAAATATTCACATCTTCCCAGTCTGGGCCATTAAGTGTTGTTGGTATTAGGTGCTGTCCAGTATAACTCATAGAGACCCTATGATAAACAGATCTGAACCCTGTCCTATCCTGTGCCATCCTTACTGCTGCAATCACTTATGTCAATGCACCTTGCCATTCCACCACCTTTGCAAGCATGGTGCCCTTCTCCAAGGAGCAGCCTCTCCTAGAAACATGCATTAGACCTTCAAAAAAATCCATGATGCCCTTCCCTTTTCCAGCTCCCTCATTCATGGTAGATTATAAAAATGGTCTTCCCAGATCTTTCCACACTGTCTGAGCTTGTTATATGACTGACTCCAGTCAATGATATATCAAACAGATAATTCAAGTAAAGACCTGAGAAGTATTTACACACGAAGGCTGTCTAACTGCTCTAGGGAAACCTGAGGCCATCGTGTGAAGTAGCGTAAGTTATCCTCCTGGAAGATAGGAGATCAGGTGGGCAGAGAAGAGTCCTCTCACCAAGCCCAACCCAATCACTAGACATGTGACTCACACAATCCAAGACCATGAAGCCTCAGCTGACGTCCCAACTGACAGAAGAGATCAGACAAACCAGCTCAGACTGGAACAACCCAACCAAACCACAGAAGTATGTTGTTGTGTGCTGTGGAGTCAGAACCAAATCATATCTGAACCTACGGCAGGTTTTCAGAGGCAATAAATTGCGTAGGAGGAGAATGCCCATCATAAATAGGGTTGGTTCTGCAACAAAAGCTAACTGATTCACCAACTCTTAGTATTATATCAATCTATACCTTTCTATTAATCCTCTAATTTAGACTCAATTTCCAATGTCTGAGGAGAAATCTTTTTCTAAAATGTCCTAAGAGCATATAAAATTGAATACAGTCAGGAGAAAAGTGCGGCAATGAATGGAAATCCAAAACCTCCGTAAATGTCTATTAAAATTAATTTTAAAAAATTGAATACAGTCAATTCTTGTGGTAGTTATGTCTCATAAAGCCATAGCAAACAGTGACTTGATGAATACAAAACTATTCCCCTTAAAGAGTTCTTACAAGCCTCTGGTTACCATGTTTTCACTCACTGAATAGAAAGTCATATTCTCTAGTGTTTCTGTTCAGTTGTTGAGTTGGAACCAACTCATAGCTGACCTCCAGTGGGTTTTCAGAGGCAGGAAATCACATAGGAGAAGACTGCCCATCTTTCTCCCATGAACCAGTTAGTGGATTTGAACTGTAGGTCTTTGGGTTGGGAATATAACTCCTTACCACTAAACCACCAGAACTCCCTTTCTGTCTCGAAATGCCTTATGAAATATACACTGTTGGTTCATTAATATTGAGCTCATGGCCAACAGCATTATTACTCATTCTTGAAAGAAGCTTATCTAAAACAAGTATTTTCTCCGTGAGGCACTCTGTAGCTTTACTATATTTAGAAACACAGTGAATGCTTCAGTACTATACACAGTGTGGTGCAGTGGGTCTCCTGCTCCAAATGGCTTTCCTAGACCGCTGCCTTTGGCCTTGTCACGTGGCCAGGTGGATACATCTTGAGATTCCCCCTTACCAGCAGGCAAAACTCAAGTCAACACCATTAGTTCTCCTGAGGGCATGGTCTATACCCCTGTGCTCCTATAAAGATGACTCCATCTGAGACTTCACCAACTTTCTGCTTGCCTGGAAAACCCTTCTAAACTGATCCAACTGCCTCAACTCTACCTTCTCTGCAAGCATGTGGTTTGTTGATCTCATCAATATCTGCCAAAGAAGGACCAGCAGAGAATGCACCCTGCAAGCCTATGGCCTGCCTCCATCATCAACAGCTACCAAAGAAGCTGCAGCAGAGAACGCAGTGTGTGCCCTTTGGGGCCAGAGATTCTTGTACCAGCCAGACCTAGAGGACAGCAGCAGCAGCAGCAGCCATAGCACAGAACCAGAGACCTGACATGAGACAGAGCTGACATAGACCCGCTACCCGATGGAATCAAAACCAAGGGCCTTCACCCAAGCTTGTTGGAAGACTGGGTGGGGAGATACCTTAATTGACAGGATAAAGAGAGCTTTGTAACAGGAGCTTAAAGTGCAAGGCTGAAGGCCAAAGGGCCTGCAGGCACACTTCTAAAGTTTTAGAATATTTACTGAGAAATTGTATTCCTGCTGTCATCCTGAGTTGTAACATGTTAACTTCTCTAATAAACTCCATAATCTTAATTATCAGTCTGTGAGGTCTGTGTAGTGATTGCAATGGATTTCTGACCCAGCGGGGCGGTCAGTTTGGTATTAGAAACTAGGAGAAATTGGCATGGGAGTGTCGGGAGACATATCAGACTTCATGCGATTTAGTTTTGCGCTGTGGATGTTGTTGACGTGGCCGTTACTCCTTGTGAAATTGGCAAGGTCTGATATGGTCATGCTTATGCTGCCCTCACTCTTTTTACACTCAAGGACTATTTTAAACAGTGAAATTATGATTTTTAAATCATGTGGCGCTAAATATACTAAAAATACATAGCCCATCAACAAACGGATGGATAGAGAAGCTGTGGTATATTCACATAATGGAATACTACACTGCATTGAAAAACAAGGAACTCATGAAATATTATTCAAAATGGGTGACCCTGGAGGACCTAACGCTGAGTGAAATATCTCAGTCACAAAAGGATAAATACTGCATGGTGCCACTGTTGTAGAACAGGACTGATATCAGAGTTCGGGTAAGGCTGAGAAAAACTGGATAAATTATGTATACTGCACTGAAACAGATGAGGGCGAGAACAGTTTAAAAGCAATATATGATAGGGTATTATGGTTATCACAAGAGTCCAGAATGAAGGTTGCACAGTGGAGTGTACTCGGGGTGCTGGGGGGGAGGGTTGCGGGGGATACCAATGAAGGAATTTCTCTTTTACTTTTCAAAGTGAAGAGCGAACTGGCGGGGGGGGCAGGGAGAAAAGTGCAACAATGAATGAATGGAAATCCAAAACCTCTGTAAATGTTCACTAAATTAATAAAATAAAATAAAAAAATACATAGGAGCTCCAGGAGTTCAATGGTTAAGTACTAGGCAGCTAACTGAAAGATGGGTGGATCCTGGGGTGAAAAGATATAGCAGCCCTTTCTGTCAAGACTGTAGCCTAGAAAGCCTTAAAGAGTAACTCTCTCCTCTGTCCTGTAGCGTTGCCACGAGTCATAATCAACTGAATAATACACAGAAAACAGTAAGTCATACTGATTTGCAATATGAGAAATGGAAAAAGAAGACAATGTACACAGCAGTCTGCTTTCCTGTTATCTCATGGGCATGCCTACTGTCCCATCATTGGTCCCTGTACCACGAGTGACAGTTTGGAAACTGTTGCCTTGTATGAACTGAGCTGAGAATGAACTTGTTTGGATGACTGACATTAGTCATCACTGAACATAATCATGAATGACCATGAGAGCACTGTAAGTGCTGATTTGGGGGCTAGAAAAAAACTTCAAAGTTGGCAAATTCACAAGTACAGAATTGGTGAACAAAGTTCATTACTGATAATTAAGTTCATCATTTCTCTAATAATTGAGCCTCCCATCCAATCTCCTTTACTTTTCAAGGACTCTATCACTATTCTCGTTCCTCCAACACCCAATCTAACTCACTGCCACAGAGTCAATGCCAACTCAGCCAGCCTAGACGACACAGCAGAACTGTCCACAGGGCTTCCAGACTGCCACATTCAACTGCCCTTCCAGTTATCCAGGTCAACCATGTGAACCACTGTACCACAGAGCTCATTTCTCAAATACAAACACCTTTAAATCCTTTGACTCAGAACTGTCCCTAAAATCTCTTACTTCCTTGCTATTTCACTGTCATTACTTTATATCAAACCTTGTTAATGTTCACCCAGACTATACTAAACAACAAAAAGACTGCTCATTGCCATCAAATGAATTCCAACTCTTGTGACCCCACGGGTTACAGAATAGAAGTACTCTATACAGTTTTCATAACTGCAATCTTTATAGACACCAATCACCAGGACTTTCTTCTGCATTGCCACAAAGTTAGCTTGAGCCATCTACAGAAATTTAGATTATGTTTACAGCCTTTTAATGGTTTTTACCCATCTTCACTTTCTCTTCTTAATTCTAGTCTCCATTATCCTAAGAGAGTTAACTTTCTAAAATGTCAATTTAATGACATCACTGCCTATGGACTACACGCTAAGACCCCAAATCACCTGTCTGACTGTAGCTCTGCCGTTGGCCTCACACACTCTCACCAGTCTATCTCCTGCTCTAGCACCATCCCAGCATCTACTGGGCTATTCCAAACCTTGGTTTTGAGACAGGTTTTGGCTCATGGACTCTTTGCACAAAAACTTTCATTTTAACGCTTCTCCAGAATTTGTTCCAAAGAAAGGTGACCCAACTGAGTGTGGAAACTACAGAACAGTGTCATTGATTTCACATGCAAGCAAGATTCTACTGAAGATTATCCAAAAACGATTAGAACAGCACATCAGCAGAGAACTGCCGGAAGTCCAGGCTGGGTTTAGAAGGAGTAGTGGTACTAGGGATATTGTTGCTGATGTTAGATGGATCTTGGCTGAAAGCAGAGAATACCAGAAGAATGTCTATCTGTGTTTCATTGATTATGCAAAGGCATTTGACTGTGTGGATAATAACAAACTGTGGCTGACTCTGAGAAGAATGGGAATCCCAGAACATTTAATTGTGCTAATGCGAAACCTATACTTGGACCAAGAGGCAGTAGTCAGAACAGAGCAGGGTAACACTGCACGGTTCAAAATTGGGAAGGGTGTACGCCAGGAATGCATCCTGTCTCCATACCTTTTCAACATGTACGCAGAGCGGATTATCTGAGAGGCTGGGCTCTATGAGGAGAATTGTGGCATCAGGATTGGTGGAAGATCTATTAACAATCTGTGTTATGCAGATGACACAACCCTGCTTGCTGAAACTGAGGAGGACCTTATGCACTTGCTGCGAAGGGTCAAGGACTGCAGCCTTCAGTATGGACTGAGGCTCAATGTCAAGAAGACAAAGATTCTCACCACTGGACCAATTGGCAGCGTCAGGATGGATGATGAAGAGATTGAGATTGTTCACAGCTTCAGTTTGCTCGGCTCCACCGTCAACACTCTTGGCACCAGCAGTCAGGAAATCAAAAAGCGTATCGCGATGGGAAAGTCTGCTGTTAGGGACCTCTCTAAAGTACTCAGGAGCAACAGTGTCTCTCTGGAGACTAAGGTGTGCCTGATACAGGCCATGGTCTTTGCAATCGCTTGTTATGCATCAGAGAGTTGGACAATGACTAGGGAGGACAGAAGGAGAGTGGATGCTTTTGAGCTGTGATGCTGGAGAAGGGTACTGAATGTACCATGGACTGCCAGGAAAACAAACAGATTCGTCTTGGAGAGGATTAAACCAAACTACTCCTTGGAGGCAAGGATTCTGGGGCTTCGTCTGACATACTTTGGACCTGTTGCCAGGAGGGACGGGTCCTTGGAGAGGGATATCATGCTTGGGAGGGTGGAGGGCAGCGTAGGAGGGGAAGACCCTCTATGAGATGTATTGATTCGGTGACTGGGGTAATCGGAATGGGTGTGTCAGAGGCGGTGCAGTTGGCGCAGGATAGAGCAGGGTTTAGGGCTGTTGTGCATAGGGTCTCTATGAGTCGGAAACGACTCGACGGCACATAGCAACAACAACCACAACCAGAATTTGTTTAAATATTCCCTTTTGAAATCTTCTAGAGGCCCCATGGAAGTCATGCCACTCTTGGAACTACTTGAAGGGATAAATCAGAGCAAAATTAATTCTAGTGTCTCTTTAAGAAACTATAGTGACAGCTTGGTAATTTGTTTTCTTTTAATCCAAACACAGGAATGAGTTGTTGCTGTTGTTTTTATGTGCCGTCGAGTCGCCTGCAACTCATAGTGACCCTATGTACAACAGTCCTAAACTCTGTTCTGTCCTGTGCCAATCGCACCATCTCTGACACTCCCATCCCGATTATCCCAGTCACCGAATCAATCCACCTCATAGAGGGCCTTTCCCTCCTGCGCTGTCCCTCCACTCTCCCAAGCAAGATGTCCCTCTCCAAGGACCGGTCCCTCCTTACAACATGTCCAAAGTATGAGGGAGAAAATCTCACACATAAAGTGTGAGTCAGAGATGTGGAGACAATGAGCATCAGCACAGAAAAAGAAAATGAAAGGCAGAAACAAATGAAAATAAAGATATAAGAAGGGTAGACAAAGCAAGAAGTAGAGGGGGAGAAAAAGCCATGTAATTAGAAAACTAAATCAAGCTAAACATCTTGTTATTTTTTACTCCCTTGCAATTTCACTTTTTTGGGGAAAATACCCTCTGATTCTGTTCTTAAAGGGGTGCAAGGAGAGAACAGTTCTGTGGCCATCAATGGTCTAGGCTCATGCAGAAATACACTGCCAGAGCAGATGAAAGCACCACACATGCGGAGTCAGAGACAACCAGAAGAACCCCAAAGACTGGTCTGGGCAGTGAGACCAAAGCCTTCGTCCCACTCTTCACGTTACGCTGTCTCTGCTCCTAGGATCACAGCTCCAAGGGGAGCAGACAGCCCAAGATTTAAGAGTTCATGAAGGAAATCATACACTTATGGAGAAGAAAATTGACATGATCATTAAGTTAAAGTTGCCATGGGCTATCTCTTTGTAAAGTACATTATGTTAGCCCCAGATTTCCAGGGATCTCAGAGGCGCAAGCATAAAGCTATCCTTCCTGTCACTAGCCATCCGATTTGCAGAAACAATTTGAGAGCCTGAACGTTTTCTGCCTCCATGGGGGCCGTTGGGCAGTTTCTCAGGTGCTGTCCTTCCTGTGTACAGAACTGCAGTCCCACATGCCACCACCACAGGCACACATTTGGACAGACAGAGAGAACAACAGCAGTGTTCTGAGTATGTTCTTTCACACAAGGCTAGCTTAATAAGAAAAGATGATCAAAATGGTGTTACAAAAGAACCAAATAAACTTCTTTTGGATACCTTTTCTTCATTGGCTGCCATCAACGACTCCACAGCTTTTTTCATTTTTTGTACTTCAATATCTGAAACGAATCATCAAACCAAAAGTCAAGTTAACATGTGTGATAACGATAAGAAGTTACTCGTCAAATTGACATGTTTTTAAGGCAAAGATGTTAATAGCTTGGTTTTTTGAGTCCTTTTTTTTTTTTTTCCAAAAAAGAGAGGTACAGTGAGCATACATACTCTTTTCTAGGTATAATCTGAAAAATGAGCACCTCTACCTCACCTAAATGGTCATCACTTCAGAGTGAAAATAGTAAAGAGTATGTGAGAACTGACTATCTTACAACTGGAGCACTATGACACCCTCATGAGAACACTGAAGGTGAGATTTGAGTGCTATCACATAAAACCACGACAGTTTAAAAAAAAAAAAGCAGTGGCTGAAAGCAATGGGCAGTGAACAAATGATAAAAGCGGAGGAAAAGGTATGTAGTTGCAACCAAGATGGATGTTCAGATGGTGAAGCCTGATGGGGCGTGGCATTTACAGGAGAGGTCATGCTAAGAAGCTGGTGGGAGGCTCCATACACAAGGATGGTTATAAGTGGTTTGCTTCATTAATAAACCTCATTTCTAATACTATTTTTAAAACCTATTTTAAGACCTAAAAGCCAAAGGACGTTGAATGTAATTTTACAATTTGAAATTCAAACATTAAGGCAAGTTACTGGTTTTAATATTGAAAAACAAGTATTTTAAAGATAAAAGTTGTTAAGTGCCATCAAGTTGTCTACTTCTCACAACAACTCAGAATAATAATAGATCCTTGCCTTATCCTGTGCCATTCTCATGTTCTTCAACACGTTTGAGCCATCACCCCAAAAGAAGACCATATATTAAAAATGGAAACGGGGAAAAAAAAATCACCTAAAGTTACTGGATTTTAAGAAGGGAAGCTATTTAAGATAATGTGGTAAATCATTCAGCATTAACATAACATTTTCAATAAAGATGTGATTTTTAGGGCTGTTTTTTTTAAATTGTTTTTATTATTTTTGTGTGTGTGTACTGTCAAATCAGATCTGACTGGTACAGAAGGAGAGTGTCCTTCCTCCTCCAGCACATCTGGTGGATTTGAACCACACACCTCTGGGATTGTAGTGCAGCTTCTTGTCACTAGGCTCACCAGGGCTGCTTTTTTAAAAACAAACCAACAACTCCAAAAAACACAAAATACTAACAAAACCTCCACAACCAAAAGTGAAATTCCTTTGACTGAAGGTTTCATTTGTCTGTGAACAGGATCTCACCAAGGATTTATTTCAATGATGCATTAAATAACCCAGCCTCCAATCACTGGCCTGGAAAAAGTTCTCTTTCCTAATAACACTGAAAGTATACAGGGTATATTCAGGGAAGCAATTACCCATTGTCTGCCATCAAGTCACTTCTAGTTACAGTAATTGTACAGAAGAAGGGAACTGCCCACAGGGTGTCCAAGGTTGTGAATCTTGACAAAAGCAGCCAGCCCTAGCATTCTCTCTGGGAGGGGCATGTGGGTTTAAAAGGATATCACTTAAATAATCTGTCAAGTGCTTTACCACAGCACCACCACCAGGGCTCTTGTTTGCACCTACTGCAGAGCTTAACAAATAATGGGGTTTAGAACACTGAAAAGCACAAACAAAGTTCAAATTGGTCTTTTTTACATTGGTGAACCCCAATAATAAGTTTTCTTAAGAATTGTTGCTCGCCATCAAGTCAGAACCAACCCATAGCTGACCCTCCAGTGGGTTTTCAGATGCAGTAAATGGCAAAGGAAGAGATTACCCATCTTTCTCCCTCACAGAGGGTGATGAATTTGAACCATGGACCTTTGCATTGGCAGCACAATTCCTTACCACTAAGCCATCAGAACATAAAGGTTGTATATCTCCTCTCACCCTGGAGCTTCTGGACAACAGAGAAATTGTTTTTTTCACCTCCACCAGTGCCCTGGGGTATGGTATCCTGTGCAGCAAAGGTCTGAGTCTAACAAAATCTGTAACACAGTGTTTCATTCTGTTTTTATTGTCTTTCACTACCCTCTGCTTTATATGCACTAAGAAATGGAGAGCTTATTGATGAAGCAACGTTGTATCTCTGGTGAGAGAAGTGCTTTAAAACACATGCAAAGAGCAGTCCAAGTAGTACATTCAATGAATGTAAAAGCTAATGGAAAGACACCAAAAACCTTACTTTTTTCTTTGAGCTTCTTTTTAAAATTTTCATCTGTGCAGGAAAACCCATCAAATTGGAAGTCAGCAAACATTACAGTAAGAAATGATATTTTAACAACACTTGTTAATTTCCATTTACCTATAAGAAAGAGACTCTCTTCTCAAAAGGACTGAACTATAAGCACCATTTTGAAGTTTTAGGATTGGTACTAGAACAAATAATGCCATATGTGAGGATAGAAAGGAAATAAAGAACTCATCAGAAGGCCTGAACTCTAGAACCACCACTGCGACCTCATCCTTCTGAAAACTGGCACCCCCATATTAAAATAAGACCTTGTAAATAGAAGAGCGGTTTTATACTTTCTCCAGTTACACGGATTTGAGTTATAATTCAATGTCACACTCTGACACATGGTCCCTCTGGTAGTGACCAGTGCACAGCTTACATGACATTCGACTCACCAGTCAAGTTCCACATAGTGAGTTAGTCTGTCTGATCCATGGATGAGTGTACTGATCACATACTTAGATGCTATGGTGATACCAGCTTGTCATCAAGTTTCTAAACTCTTGCTCCAGACTCTATTGCATAGCAACAAATAGTTCACAAATGGGGTTAGAATTGCTTCTTGGTCTTTCTCACTTTCACTGAAGAGGGCTGGAGTCTCTCAGGAAATGTGGTTATTGTTGTTATGTGCTATCAGTTCACCTGTGACCCTATGTACAACAGCTCTGAAGCCTGCCTTCTCTTGAGCCAGTCTCACTGATTCCAACACACACACACTAACCCCCACTGCTCCAGTTACTGTATCAATCCACACCCCCATTTGCCCCAGTTACTGTGTCAATCCATCTCGTCCAGGGTCTTCTTCTCTTGTGCTCTCCCTCCACACTTCCAAGCATGATGTCCTTCTCCAAGGACCGGTTCCTCCTGGCCATGTGCTCAATGTATGTGAGAAAGAGAATCAAAATCCTAGCCTACAAGGAGAAACTTGGTTTCATCCCCTCCAAGACAGATTTATTTGCTTTCTTTGTGGTCCATGATTTAAGAACTCTTCTCTAGCACCATAGATTCTTCTGTCCCCCTTAATTACTGTCCAGCTCTCTGAGGTATAGCAAGTAATTATGAAGACTGTGGCTGGATCAGGCACACCTTAGTCTCTAAACTGACACTGTTGCTTTTCAGTACTCTGGAGAGGTACCTGACAGCAGATTTTCCCAATGCAATTCGTCTTTTGATTTCCTGACTGCTGGTGCCAAGAGTGTTGATTGTGGAGCCGAGCAAACTGTAATTGTTAACAACCTCAATCTCCTCTCCATCTGCCATGGTGCTTCAAATTGGACCAATTGTGAGAATTTTTGTCTTCTTGATGTTGAGCTTCAATCCATATTGAAGACTACAGTCCTTGACCTTCTGCAGCAAGTGCTGCAGGTCCTTCTCAGTTGCAGCAAGCAAGGTGTGTCATCTGCATAATGTAGGTTGTTAATGGGTCTTCCTCCAATCCTGATGCCACATTCCTCTTCATAAAGCCCAGCTTCCTGGATGATTTATTCTGCATATAGGTTGAAAATGTATGGAGACAGGATGCATCCCTGACACACTCCTTTCCTGATTTTGAACCATGCAGTGTTTCCTTACTCTGTTCTGAGGACTGCTTCCTGGTCCAAGTATAGGTTTTGCAAAGCACAATCAAGTTTTCTGGGATTTCCTTTCTTCTCAAGGTTAACCACAATTTGTTGTGATCCACACAGTCAAGTGCCTTTGCATAGTCAATGAAACACAGATAAGACATTCCTCTGGTACTCTTTGCTTTCTGTCAAGACCCATCTAACATTGGTGGTAACATCTCTAGTGCCACAACCTCTTCTAAACCCAGCTTGTATTTCTGGGAGTTCTCTGCCAATGTACTGTTCCAGTCATTTCTGGATAAACTTCAGAAGGATTTTACTTGTGTGTGTTATTAGTGAAATTGTTTGATAATTTCCACACTCTGTCGTGCCATCTCTTTTTTGGAATGGGACTTGAAGACAATAAACAACAACCATAGTATACTTGTATCAATGTGATAGTATTTTTGGCAGGAACCAAAAATTACACCAGGAAGTAGTCCCCTCACCAGCCAGTCACACAAGTTCCTCGGTAGGGCTGGACTACAACCAAGTCTCCTGAGATCAGGAGTCAATAAAAGCAGTGTCCACCTAGGGGTCGCCCTCTTTGTACTCTTTACTTTACTACTGACAGAAATCCTGTCAAATTTACGTTCACCCTTGTCTTTCCAGGATCCTTTCCCCTCCTCTTCCCTTTTCATTCTTACTCACTTTAACACTTTTGCATGGTCCACTCACCAGCTATGCTTCTGTCTTATTGCCTTAATAAACGTTTCTCACTTATTTTACTAAATTGCCACCATGTATGTGTGTTCCCTTAACTACAGTCACCTCAATTCACCCCGTCATGGGAAACAATAGCAAATGGTGAAGAGATGAAGAGAATTCTGGTTTTAGCATGCTCCAATTTGTACTCTGTCCTTGGACCATATGTAGGATGACACTACTCCAATTTGTCCTCGAGCCTATAAGTCCTAAGACTATTTTACTACCTTTGTTGTTGTTAGGTGCCACAGAGCCAACTACAACTCTGGGTAACTTAGAAACAACAGATCTGAACTTCTGTCTAATGTTGTGTTACCCTCACAATCTCTGATGTGCTCTAGCCCATTGTTGTCATCATTGTGTCAACCCATCTTATTGCAGGTCTTCTTCTCTTTCTCTGCCCTAAAAATATGAACTGTTTTGTTTCTGTTTTTAAAAATGACCTGTTAATGAATGTCCCTTACGGGCACTCAATATGCCCAAGATATACAAACTTACAGGGTAAGAATGTATTACTCTCAAGGAATAAAGAATTATGATAACTATAGGTATATACCACTATCATATTCTAGAATCAAGAGAGATTTTGTTGCTGTGTGTTATTCGTTGAGTCAGAACTGATCCACAGCTGGTCCTCCAGGGAGCTGTTAGTGGTAGTTAATTCCATGAGCGGAGATGGCTCATCTTTCTCCTGTGGAGCTGCTGGTGGATTTGAAGACATGTCTTCAGGATTGCAGCGTAGCTTCTTACCACTAGGCCAGAAGTAAGTGAATTCAAATCCTTCATTATAACAATAATGTTGCTAATTTCTTTTTACTTTTCCATTATGTTATAATGTTGGTTATGACATTTTGCTGTTGCATCGGACCCGGAAAAGTAGGAAAACTGGTGTAGAGGTGAGAAGATAGAGGTATGGAAGCATGGTGGACATGTCTGACCTCATGAGAACTGGTTTTGTGTTATTGACACTATAGATGGGGACAAGTTCCCCTTTGTGAAGTAGGTAAAGGTCAGACATGTCCGTGCCTACATTTGCTCTTTTTACACAATCACATTACATAACCACAGAAGAGTCCCACAGCCCTGGGTCTGCTCCACTTCCCTATCATTCCCTTTACTTTAGGCTAAAATTGAGCAGTGGTCAACATAAGATTTTTTTCACACATCTCCAAGGATTTTAACAAAACAACCTAATAAATGTTAAATAGGTATTCTTACCTCTATCAAAAATTTCAACACCTTCTCCTTTCATCTTGCAAACCAACTTTTCTTGTAACCTTTTTACTTCAGATTCCTTCTCTGCCAGTTGTTCTTTCAGAGTTGCCAGTTCATCCTACAAATTAGAAATCTGTCTTAAAATAATACCTTATGACTCAGAGGGAATCTTCAGAGCATATTAGCTCATTTTAAGTCAGTAGTTTTTTTTAATGAATGAAACAAAACTCTATAAGAATTTAGACACACATTTCAGAAATCAGGCAGTGGAATAAGCAGAAGCAAGACAATAAAAACGTTGGACTTAATAACATTTCGGTATCACTAATACATGTTTCTCTGAGACCAAAATAGGGAAAAAAGAAAAAAACACCAAAAGAAAAAAAAAATTGCTTAACGTTTACTAACTGGGAACAGGATAGCGCTAAGATTTGGTATTATATTAAATGCAAAACAAGGCCAAATTTTAATCAAGGAAGATAATAAAATTAGAAGTTGAGTGTCATAAATTAAGAGTATATATGGTAACATTTTTCTGACTGTTAGCATTTCAAGATGGTACATGTTCCTTGGACACACTAACTCTCTTTGATTGCTGTCAAGTTGGAATCAACTCATAGCTGACCCTCCAGTGAGCTCAGGGGCAGAGAGCTCAATTAGTGGGTACATAAGTACGTTGTGAGCAATGTTAGCAAGTTATGGCACTAAATCATTTACTCTTATTACTAACAAAATCTCCACCAACACTAGAAAAAAATAAACTTAGAAAACATATTTAAGTCCTGTGTCATTTTCTTTTAGTTCTGCTCCCACTGTTATCTATTTAGTGATATTTTTAATATTCAGCTTCATTTTTCATAAAGAATTGCCATTTAGATTTTACAAATTTAAGCTGTGCAGGCTATTATTTAGTTGGGAGGGGATAGAGCTTTGCAACGTTCATAAATATTGGTATGTTATATTCACCAACATTATTTTATTTATAAAAGTCTCTACAGGTATGTATTATTTATAGTAGTAACAGAAACTCTAGTTTTCCAGTGAAGCTAGGAACTTAGCCCTCGAATTTTAGTTTACATTTATGGCAGGAGTAGACGTCTAGTAGGCACACTGAAATAAACACTGGCAGATAGGCAGTCTATTCTTACTATGCCATCTCTAAAGTAGTGATGGAGCTAAATGCTGGATATTGTTGTCTTCAATAAAGTCCTGAGGTAGGAAAGCTCTATTATTGATAGAAAACAATTCTTCCACATGTGAACCTGCATGATTATTTTACCATGCTTGGGTCTCTGGTAGGGAGCTCTGGTGAGACAGCAGGCTAAGTGGGGGCTGCTAGATGAAAGGCTGGAAGGAAGCTTGAACACATCAATGGGAAAAAAATGAATAAGCTCCAGCTAAGATTCATAGCCTTAGAAAGCTATGGGACAACTCTACTCTGTCCAATCAAGGTGCTATGAGTTGGAATTGACTCAATGACAAGGGAAAGGTTTTGTTTCTGTGGGTTTCCGATTATAGACGATAGCCACATTGAATTTGCAAGCCAGTATTTTTCTTTTTCATTAATTATTTCAGACTGTTCTGAACATAATAGGGATCACCCTGTCCCTTAAACTGGATTAAATAAACAGATTGACACACATACAGAATGAATGTTCATGCTATTGAAAACACCACCACAGCAAAACAACACAAGGTGGAGGGCACCAGGCCAAAAGCCAACACCCATGTCTACTACACCTTCAGCGACTCCCACTTTTGTTCCATCCGCTGTTTTTCATACTGCATCTGACCCACCTTGATTTTCATGCTAGAAAGTTTGGCCATTAAAGACTGGGAGAGAGGCAGAAGAGAGAAAGAAAACTACAGGTAGAAAAAGACAAGCTAAGTAATCAAGAAAATAGTTATAGTTTATAAAGGAGGTTGGATAATTCAGAGGGACAACAGGCTGTGCTCACTCATTTCAGATAAGCCCTGGTTTTTATTCAGAGCCATAGTGTTTATGTCCAAGGACCCTCATTCACCTGTACAGAATGTTCTTTATTGTGCACTCAGTGGATGATAAACTTTTGTGTATATTATTGATCAGAGAGAAGCAATCGATACATTTCTTTAAATTATTTTACTGGTGAGAAAACTTACTTTGGTTGATTTAAGCTTTTTTTCATACTGAAGTCTTTCACTGTCCATCTCACTGACTCTTAGCCTCAATTCACTGATCTCTTGCATTAGTCCCTGTGCAAAAGGAAAACAAGGAAATACATGAGGAAAATGTGTAGTCCAGTTGTCATCAGTTCTTTTGCAATTCATGGTGGCCCCAGGGGTGTGACTGTATAACTATGCTATCCAGGGCTTCCAGTGTGGACTCTAGAAGGAGACTGTCAGATCTTTCTTTGAAGGCACCTCTGGGTGGAGATGAGCCATCCATCTTTCACTTAATGGCCAAGTGCTCAACCCTCTACACCACCTATTTTGTTGTTAGGTGCCCTCTAGTTGATAGAACTCACAGCAACCCTATACACAAGAGATCAGCACTTCCCCCTAGCCAACACCATCTTTGTAATCTCTAATACATTCCAGCCTACTGTTACAGTCATTGGAAATTCTAAGTACAAGCTACTGCTAACGATGCATTAACTAGATGAGATAAACAGAGAGAAATAATATATCCCCTTGTTACTCAAAACATCTCTCCACTTAAAAATAAAGTTAGAAATTCCCACTGCCTCTTCTGTTCTACAGTGATAAAACAACAGGGTGGAAGACAATGATATATATGTAGAAAAATAGCTTGTAACTTGATATCACTATCTGATACCTGTAGACTAAAACTGTATCAACTTTCTCTTTTACCAAAAACCCCTAAAAGTTTTTTTAGCAAAGGTATTTATTTGTACTGTCTTCAGTGATACACAAATATTTATTCATTTTTAAAAAGAATTTCTTCTTTATTCCATAAAGACACAGATTGTTTCACCCAAAGTGGGAGAAAGAAATAAAAGTCAAGTCTTTGAAATCAGGAATTCTTAACATAAGGCTGGATAAGTTGCTCTGCAGTTTACAAATATACTCCTTGCTTAGCATTGCTATAGTTATTAAGTGCCCTTGAGTCGACCACAACTAAGAGTGACTCCCCCCTAAACAACAGATTAGAACATTGCCCTAGCTTGCTTTCTGCCATGTGCAAGTCCATTGTTACAGTTGCTGACCCAAGCGATCTCATTGTTGTTGTTAGGTGTCATCAAGTCGAGTACAACTCAGCAAACCCTATGAACAACAGATCTGAAACCTGTCTTACCCTGTGCCATCTTTATCAGCTCTGACACACTTGAGGCCACTGCTGCAGACACTGCATCAGCCCATCTTGTTTGGGGGGAGGGAGGATGTCTTCTTCTTTTTGTTGACCCTCCATCTTTCCAAGCATGATGTTCCTTTCCAAGAAATAGCCTCTTCTAACAAAAGCAACATGTCCAGCATATGAGAGACGGAATTCACTATCTTTGTCTCCAAGGAGCACCCTAGCTGCACTGTTTTCAGGATATTTGTTTGTTCTTCTGAAGTCAATGGGATACTCAGTACTGTTCCCCATCACCACAGCTCAAAGGTACCTCGTCTTCTTTCACCCTTATTCATTGTCCAACTCTCAGATGCATATTGTATAATTACTTACTAATAATCAAAGAACGTTTCAAATAGAGTAAGTCCACATTCTCCTTTTACATATGAAGCAGAGAATGGTTGGATATCATTCAACACTTACTGGTGACTTCAAGCTCAGAGGTAAAGTCCCAATTTCTCCTGTTCATGGAAAGTCATTATTTCTGCATACTATGTGTCCTTATTGGTATTCGTGTCACAATCCTGCCATTTATGTATGCTTCCCACTGTTTTTCTGTTAAAAAATACCTTTGAGCTCCTGTTTGGCAATGATGTATTTTACCACATCTTTAGAAATAATGGCAATTTGCAAAGGAGAAAAAAACAACCGAAGAGGAAATTATAAAATGGGACATTTTTCTATTAAAACAAAAACTACCAATTATCTTTGGTAGCAACACTTTAAAACAAGCATCCTCCATCTCCCATGAGTCCCTATCATAATTCAAGCTGGAAAATCTAGAAACATCCCCTTTAATGTGTAACTTTTAAGAATGAGGAAAGAAAAATATTTTCTTTTCTGTTTAAAAAGAAAAGCCCTGTTAACTTTCCCTTTTTCCTTTTTCTCTCCCCCTGGGCCTCAACAGTAACACTATTTCTGACATTTGTGCTCATGACCAGAAGGGGGCGCCATTGAATTATGCTAACTACAGCCAGTCAGCCATTCTGAGGGACAGGTTAAGGGTTTAAAGAATTTTCCCCAGAATCTTTAGGAATTATTTCTACTTCTTCCCTAACTCCAATTTTCTTAGACATTAGTATAGAATTGTCTCACAGCTGACCCTCCAGTGGATTTTCAGAGGCTGTAAATTGCACATGCCTATAGTTAGTATAGGATTTTAAATAAATTTTGTGATGTTATAATATGGATTGAGGCTCAGTGTCAAGAAGACAAAGATTCTCACCAATGGGCCAACTGGCAGCATCAGGATGGATGGTGAAGAGACTGAGATTGTTCACAGCTTCAGTTTGCTTGGCTCCACAGTCAACACTCTCGGCACAAGCAGCCAGGAAATGAGAAGACAAATTGCCATGGGAAAGTTTGCTGCTAGGGACCTCTCCAAAGTACTGAAGAGCAATGGTGTCTCTTTGGAGACCAAGGTGCCTCTGATACAGGCCATGGTCTTCACAATCACTTGTTATGCATCAGAGAGTTGGACAATGACCAAGGAGGATAGAAGGAGAATTGATGCCTTTGAGCTGTGGTGCTGGAGAAGAGTATTGAGGGTACCATGGACTACTAGGAAAACACATTCATCCTGGAAAGGGTCAAACCGGGCTGCTCCTTGGAACCTAGGATTCTGAGGCTCTGTCTAACATACTTTGGACATGTTGCAAGGAGGGACAGGTCCTTGGAGAGGGACATCATGCTTGGTAGGGTGGAGGGACAGTGCAGAAGGGGAAGGTCCCCTATGAAGTAGATTGATTCAGTGACTGGGGCAATCGGGATGGGTGTGTTAGAGACAGTGCGATTGGCACAAGACAGAGCAGAGTTTAGGGCTGTTGTACATAGGGTCGCTATGAGTCACAAGCGACTTGATGGCACATAACAACAACAACAACAATATATGTAAATCATTAAAACCTATGAGTATGTTTCAAAACCCTGTGTCCTGTTATTTTTCCCTTAATAAAAAATAAAATAGCTACCTGGTTATTTCATGAACCTGAAATCCTTTTAAGTTTAATTTAAATTTTAAGGTTATTTGGGTACTAATCGGCAGGTGGTCTAGGGGGGAAGGAATTGTACTGACAACCCAAAGGCAGACAATTCAAATCTACTAGAGAGTAGGACAGACAATCTCTGCAGGGCGAGCTATGAGTTAGTTCCAACTCAAATGCAATGGAAGAGAGAAAGAGAGAGGGAGGGATGGACGGAGGGAGGGAGGAAGGGGGGAGAGAGAGAGAGAGAGAGATGGATGCTGATTCATGGCAGAAAGACATGGCAGTCAGTTTCCACATACAGCCATACAGCCTTGGTCACTCTATGGAGCAGTTCTACTCCTCCATTAGAACTGTTAGGACTTGGAATCAACTCTACAATGGGTTTGGGTTTATAAATTTTAGACACACTGAAGAAGGGACATAAATATTGCTCTGTGGCTGTACAAACGTCATTTAATGCAAGCTACTCCTAATGTTTGGTTAACCTGTTGGACCTTAACTAAATTTAGCAGCAGTAGAGCAGGGTCAAACTTCTCCTATGAGCATATATAACATAAATGGCCGCCTCCTGATCCCCATAAACTAACTTCTTTCCCAGTAGGAACTAGCCCAGTCACCATGTTGATTTGAGTTCTGTTAACATGTGTGTGGCCAGGGAATGACAAGGAGAAAAAAAAAATTGGAAAAGTTCATGAAAGAAAGCACAAAGACAAGAATTTTCAAGAAATAGAGTGGCATTCTAAAGAATGTCTTAAAATCCCTGATCTATACCAAAAAGCAGCTGTCATGTATGTGACAATGTCAACTTTAAAGCAAGTCATATACTAAGACTCTACTGTAGCCATCTTTGACAGAAAATCTAATTTTAAAAACAACAGTGGGATACACTTTAATATACGCAAAGTATCTGGTAACATTATGGCACATAGTTGGCAGGCAATAAATGTCCGAAATAAAGACTGAGGTGAAAAATAAGGTATACCTCATTTTATTGTGTATGTGAATATATGTGTGTGTATGTTTTAGCTGAAGGTGTGAAGCAACCCTGTGTCAAACAAGTCAGCTGTCACTGTTTTTCCCACAGCACGTGCTCACTTCATGTCTCTGGGTTCTGTCTGATACCAGTGCACACTTTTAGTAGACTACAGTATAGTGCAAACATAACTTTTATATGCATTGGAAAACAAACAAAAAAACTGTGTGATTTTTTGCAATGGTCTGGAATCAAACTTTCAATATTTCCCAGGTATGTCGAGGAATGATCCCATCATCTTCCTCCTTGGTTACTATTTTCTGACCACCTCTTTATATCATCATGATCCAGAAAACAAAACAGGGAAGGGAACAGGAAGGCCTTCACCTGAAGCGGAGGAATTTCTGCGGCTCTTTATATTTCACTTCAAGTTAACAGATTTTAAACTACTATTATTCTCCCCCAATAATAAAACTATGTAATTAAAAGAACTAGATTAAGAATAAAATAGGGGGGAAATAATCACGTTTATTTAATCACAGAAATGAATTCTTCAAGTTATAAAATTTATGCTGAACTTCACAAAAGCATAATGATCCTTATTTATTTAGAATGATATGTTTATAATAGTTTGAAGGTCAAATTATCTTTAAAAAGTACTGTGATTTAATAGTTAAGTAATGCAAACATAATCTCTGTATATATATCAAATACCCCCTTATTACACAGTATGCAATAAGTATACCTAAATAATATGTACTAGAAAAACCACACACTTAAGCCTACTATTTATAAAATTAGGAAAAGCAGCATGACTGGCTAGGTGGATGGGTAAGTAATACTTGGGGGAAATGGGCAGAGAGATAGCAGGTTAAAAATACCATAAGGTCCAAAGCACTTCTAAAGTCTAAGGAAATTAAAGTCTAAAAAAAATAAAATAAAAATAAATGCATTAACATTTATGTAATATATACTCAGTGTAATTAAAGATTATTCTTAAAAGAAGCATAGACGCAAGAGTATATTCATTAACTGTTCACTTTCAAGAAATTTCAACTTTGTTTAGGATTGTGTGTGTTAGAGAAAGAGGGAGACACGAATTTACCTCAGTATCTCTGAACCTATCTTCATAATCCAGTCTGTCCTTCTCCACAGCAGTCAGCTTTAATTTCAAATTAGAGATTTCAGCCATCAGGTCCAATTTCTGAGTTTCTAAAGATGTCCTGCTCAGAAGTTCCTTTTGAGAAGTCAAGAGATACAATCAAAGGTTACATTATAAGCAGATAGGGGTTTGTCCAATTCTGATGACAAAGTCTCTGAAAAACACCCAACTCGCAGCTGCTGACAGGGTACTACTGACTCACAGCCGACCCTCCAGCAGGTTTTATGATGCTATTAATCACATGGGAGGAGATCGCTCAGCTTTCTCCCTTGGAGCCAAGGGTGGGTTTGAACCATTAGAAGCAGCACCTTTAGGTTAACAGCACAATTTCCTGTAGCACCACAGCTCCCTTGAAGACAAAGTGCTGTTAGGGGGCCATCGAGTTGAGTATGGCTCACAGGGACCCTCTGAACAGAAGATCAGAACCTCACCGTGTGCTGTGCTTTTAAATGATCCCTACTATGCTCAGGCCCACTGTTACAGACACTGTGTTAATCTAACTTCTTTCCTCTTCCTCTGACCCTCCACCTTTCCCATCATGAGGTCTTCTCCCAAGAAATGGCTCGTATAATTATTAAACATACATGCTTTATTTATGTTTATAAACATACATGTTACTGAAAACATTAACTTAGCTACCCTCCTTGGAGTAAAACTAAACACTTGATCATTGGTTAAAGGAGACAGATTATAAGATACACATCCATCCTGTGTTTCTGAAGCCCACTGATGATATTAGATGCGCTATGTATCAGGCACTGTCCGGAACATATTAAACACTTCAATTCTCACAACAACATTGGAAGGTAGACATTTTTATTAGTCTTATTTAACAGATGTAAAGCTCTAATGGCCTGGTGGTATGGAATTGCATTGCTAACTCACAGGCATGTGGTTTAAATCCACCAGCTGTTCCACGGGAGAAAGATGGACAATCTCCTCCTGTGTATTTTATTGCCTCTGAAAACCCACTGGAGGGTCAGCTCTGAGTCAGTTCCAACTCAATGGCACATAACAATAACAATTTAACAGATTAGAGAGCTGAAGAATAAATGGAGAGTTAATAAGAATTTGCCAAAAGCCACACTGCAAGTAAACAGAGGGCAGGGAATCACAGCTCACAGCCTCACGTCAGTGTGTGCCCCATCGTTACTGCTGTGTCTGCTCTTACGCTGGCCCTGGACTCACCCCAGGGGTAACAGAGCAGAATTGCCCCTGAGTGTTTCTGGGCTGTGATGTTTACAGAAGCTATTAACCAGGCCTGTCTTCTGCAGAGTTACCGGCTATGTTCAAACTGTCAACCTTTAGGTTATGAGCTGATTACACACTTTCTGCCACCCGCACGCCTTCATTACATCGTAAAGCTTCTCATCCGTGAAAAAAAGGCACGCTTGGAAAAGCAGAGAGTCAGTGAAGGGAGGAAGGCCTTCAATGAGCTGGACTGACACTTGGGCTGCAACAGGAGGTTTAATCACAGCAAGGTCTACAAGAATGGGGCAGCATCAGAGAGGGTTTTGTCCTGGAGTCACTATGAATTGGAGTCAACTCTATTGCATCCAACAGTAGCAATAACATATGCTCACCACATGTACGGGCACACATCAAGAGCTTCCCCCCAAATAAAAAGTCCTACTTATTAGTGCTTTACATTTTTGTTAAATATAAAATACATGTGCTTGTGTTTAAAAGAAAACCACATGAAAGCATTAAGGAGAAAAATGAAAGTCAGCTCTCAGCCCTATTAATACTTGATCCTGATCCCATCAAATACTTGGTGGCGTGTGTTTCGGGGCACTCCTGCTCTACACTTTCACTGCACTTCACTCACCAAAGCTAAGCTAACAAACAGATGCAGCACCGTCAACAGCGAGTGGGCAGGAAGCCCCACCTCGGAGCCTGCTCTGCACGTACCTGCTGCAGCATTTCTTCCGTGGCATTCAACTTCTCCCGGTGCTCCTCAAGACAAAACTCCAGATCGCGAATCTTCTCCCCCTGAGCCTCCACCTGGTCAGTTAACACACTTACCTGCATTTCAAACAGAACACTGCAGTGAGTTAGAAAGAATTTTGGATCCCATGACAGACTTTATTTCTTTAAGTGGAAGAGAACTGGAATCCAGCTATATTTCTTTGGATGTAAAGGGGAAAACATGTGACAATCCATGACAAGGTAGCAGGCCTCCATTTTCGTATCTACACGTGGCTTCTTCAACTAAAGGACTCACTTGTCAGTGAGTACACAGGTGGTTTGGGGGAGCGGTAATAGGGGTGTATTAGAAGTTGAGAGGGGAAATGAAGCTAATGGTTAAAACAAGTGATCAAAAACAAAACAAATGATCAAGTTCAATGAGCTGCTTCCAGAAGAATAAAGAAACCTAGAGAATCTAAACTGCATGTGATCTTTTAAGATCCCTGCGTACAAGAATCTGTCTCAAGTCAAGGTGTACCTCGTCACACACTAGCAGTCCACGAGTGTGTACTGGTTTAGTCCTTCATCCTCAGTCTGTACTGAAAATCATCACAAATATTCCTCCGCCAAAGATCTCCAATCTATCGGCGCTAACAGCATGGTGTGTTTTGAGGCACTCCTATTGTACGTTTTCACTTAAAATAAGCAAAATTTGAACAAAACTGGAACTTTTGTTCAAGTATCTCAAAACATCAAGTAAAAAGTCTGTCAAAAGTTAAAATAGACCTTCAAATCTAGACAACAGGCAAGACTTCATCAGTAGTCTTTTGTTGGCCTTTGGTATCATTCAAAAAATAAAAAATCCAGACCTATGTATTTTATTAAAAATCTTAATTTTCTAACACGAGAAAATCAGATCAGGGTGTTTCCTTTCATCCAGAACTGCTCTTGAAAGCTGAGGTGGACAGGGGCTGCTCCCTCTAGCCCAGGTGTGTATTATTTCCATTTTAACCTCAGTCCTCACCATTCCCTATTGTGTACAGAGGGCACCGGTTTGTGTTAGCTGCCTGGTTTCTGTAAGTCTCAGGATTTGCCACTCCTACTTTAAATAAAATCTTTTTATGGATGCCATTAGAAAAGATCAACGTTGTAAAGCCACTTGCCTGAAGAACGAGGGATTCTTTATCATTTTCTAAGCGTGCTAGCCTCTCTTGATATACATCTCCATTCCCAGGTAGATGTCCATTTGTCTGAAAAAGAAAATAAATAAAGCTTATCAAGTTAATCTTCTTAGAAAATGATGTACTATGACTGAATGACAATGGCACATACTTTAAATCTAAGAATTCTGAACAGAACGCAGTATTCACTGCCTTTAACAGAAAACATGAGACTGTAACTTGGTTCACTGACCTCACGTCGATGAAGACAGACTATACACTGAGGAACATTTATAACAAACAATAGGATTTATTATGAAACAGAAACAATGATCCTAAAAGAACAGTGGCTCTGATTTTCTTCATTGACTATGGATGCAGACACAAAGATACACAAGTCTGTGGCCTGGGTACAATGCTCCTATTTTCTCTAATGCTCAGCACCCCACTTCAGTGTGTGTGAAGAGTAGGGGTGGGAGGGGACCTGCCATGTCCTTCTCCTTCCTCCATGGACTAAAGCGTCACATCCAGAATGGGCAGTGCCTGCCCTGAAATGAAAGCTGCAGGATCAATTCATGCCATGGGCTTCTTCCTGACCAACAATGTCTCAAATCCCAGGACAAGGCTTCCCAGGCTTCTCGAATACTTTACAGCTTTGAATCTTTCAAGTCTTTCTCTCTTCTCCCAAAAGCCTAGGGATCTCAGTCGACAAACACTTCTTCCCCTGATAGAACTGATTCTTGGAATTTTATTCAATAAATTTGTTAACTTCTTATGAGTTTGCTTGTTCATGTCATGTTATATTAAGCTCTTAGGCTGCAAACTGGTATTATCTCACAATTTACAGTATCTAAGCCTGTGCCCTGTATACTGATGCTGTAGCTTTCTTTTCCATCCTCTATTTTTTAAAGAATAGGATTTGGGAGGGAGCTCTGGTGGTCTAGTGGCAAGAAGCTGCACTGCAATCCTAGAGGTGTGTGGTTCGAATCCACCAGATGTTCTACTGGAGAAGGAGGAGCAATCTCCTCCTGTACCAGTCAGGTCCGATTTGACGGAATACACACACACACACACACACACACACACTTTTAAAAAAAGAATAAGATTTGGGTGGTGAAAAGGGTTAATGTTCTGGCTTCTAATCCAAAGTTTAGAGGCTCAAGCCAACTTAGAGGTGCCTTGAAAAAAAAGCCCCCTAAGTCAAGCAAACTCACTGCCACAAAGTCAGAATCCACTCATAGTTGACCCTCCAGAGGCTCTCAAATGCATGGGAGGAGACTGGCCATCTAGACCCTGCAGAGCTGCTGACAGATGTGAAAAACCAGAGAGATGTCACCTTTCAGTTAGCAGCCCAATCCCCGACGGCTTGTTGGTAGTAGTGTGTGCTGTTGCATTGGGAATGCCTTCTAGCTGACCCTCCAGTGGGTTTTCAGAGCTTTAAATCACACAAAAGGAGATTGTCATTCTGTGCAGAGTAGCTGGTAGATTGGAGCTGGATGCCTTTGGACGGGGAGCACAGCTCCTTGCCAACAGACCACCTATAAAATCAGTCACTGAAAACTCCACATAGGACACGCAGTTCTACTCTGACACACTAGGGGTCACTATTAGTCAGAGTTAACTGACACCACATGGGTGGTTACACAGGATGTAAATACCAAAGAAAGTAACAACTGAGAAAGGAAGTGTAGCATTTTGGGTTTTTCCCCTCCAGCTTTTATATTTGAGAGTCATTAAAAAGACACATGAAAAGGCACAGAGAGTAAAATATCTTTTGAAACACAGTAGTCTATGTGATGTGACTCTTGCCATCTCATTTAGTTCAATAGTTCATAGCTGCAATATGCATGCAGTCCTAACAGAATTTCCTGCTCCATATTAAAATAAAAACAAAAGCCAGCCAAAGTCATAAGTGGTTAAACCGGGCTGTCCTGAGTTCAACTGGAAAAAAAAAGAAGCAAAGAACAGCTTCCTATTTAAAGTGAGAGAAAATATTCAAAGCACATTCTTAGCTCCCTATGGTACATCCGATGTGATATTTAATTTTTTAAATGTTTTTAGAACTGTATTTCTGAATGCAGTTTCTAGCACTGGTTCTGGGAACTACAGAAGTCAAGTATTGGCCGGGAAAAAAATATGGAGCTTAATAAAAAAGAAAATTTCAGATTGTTTCTTGGAAAAATGTAGAAACATTTCCCATGGATACATTTTCCACAACGCCACAAAAGAAGCAGAAGCTAACTCAGGGAGCATGCAATGTGTGTTCAGACTGGATGAAAATTTTAACATCATCTGCTTGACAACATGCCTACATGATTATCACAGCGTAAGTCTGTTCATGTTGTTAACTGCAGCGCCCAGAATCAAATTATAAGCACTGTGAAGTATCTGATGGAATGAACAGGAGGATTGTCATCTCTGGGGACTACGAGGAAAATGAAATGGAAATAACTTCTGGAGGAGAGTTTTTTGGAAAAGAGCCAGCATGCATAATGCATGTTTTCAGTCTAAGCAAGCTCCGAGACTGGCCTTGTGCAGCTCTGAAGCTTTCATTCTGATTAGGGCATTAATAGACATCTGTTTTAAAAACCTCACTGGAACAATGTCTTTATAAACTGATACATTTCATTAGATAGAAGAGTCTTCTGTTTAGTGGAGTTAAAAAGAAAAATGTCTTCTGAATGGAGGAAATGATAGTGCGATTAAGCTGTGTTTCTTTCCCCCAGGCCACTCTGTAGGATGTGGAAATAATCATATCATCTATACAATATCCCAGACCCATTCTTCAGGATAATCCCCAAATAAAACCAAATACTGTAAGTTGACTTATAATAAGTAGACTAAGATTTCTTAGCACTGTATTAATATTTGTAGGATTGCACCATGTTCACAGGGAGTTTAATATTATTGTTCTTACACACGAAGTCACTCGAGGAACACAAAGCAAAAATTAAAAGCCACCAGTGAAACAGTGACATACTTTTAAAGTATTATGTTAATTTATTCAAGTAGGTAAAGGTCTACTTCTTCAAACATTATTTATAATTCTGTCAGTCTTTTTGCCCCCACCTTAAAAATGTATTATTGACAGGTGTCCTCAAGCCGATTATATCCATAGTGACCATATGACCAATGGGTTTGAATCCTGCCCTGGACTAAAAATGTCAGAAGGAGGTAAATTCCCTTAGACAAATGCTCTACTGGCATTTGGTTTAGTTGCTGTCACACCGATTCTGATTCATTGTGACCCCCATTCATCTCTAATTCCTGGGTTCTACCTACTAGATCACTCAAAGCGTAATTTTATTATTATACTCATTTTATCCCTCCATGCAACTATTATTACAAATCTTTCCTCTTTTCATAAGGTCCACTCCAAATAGGGTGGCTCAGTGAAGTCTTCCTTCAATTAACCCACACAGTAATGACAGCAACCTGACCAGCCTTCACTGTATTGTGCATCTCATTCAATGGGCCGAGGTTAGCCCTAGGTTACACATGTACCGTTTTCCTCCCAAAAGACTCAGAGTGCTTTGTAAATAGCTTCCTTTTTGCATCAGTCCACATAATGGGTGCTGACAAAGTGGATGAAGAAGAGAGGAACAATGAATGAATGGCAGGTACTTAATAAATGTTGGCTGAATGAAAGATAAATGAACATTTAGTTGCCATGTTCCCTTTCAGTTCTCAGCAACACTGTTACTACTTTTCCTCAAAACCCTGGCACACACTCAACAGCTGAGTTCTAGAATTGTGTGTTGATCTCTAGAACTGTTGTTCCTTTCCATAACCCAAGTTCGGGGCCTTTTTAATGGGCAGCAGTTGAGGCCATCTTGTACAAACTCCCTTACAGACTGTCTCTGCAGTGCACAATGTATTTTGCTTCTTACTTCTCCCCTTCTTTTCCTAAAGTCTCAACGGAATTGGGTCTTAGTTTCTTAATAGCTCTTAATAGCTTAATAATATTGAGAAATCATTCTTATTAATAGCTTAATAACTTATTATGAAATCATTCTTATTAATAGTTTAATAATTTCTTAATAGGGCTTATTAGCAGACTACATCTTTGTTTTGTAATTCTTTTTTTGCTTGGTTTTTTTTGTGTTAACTCTTTTTTGTAGTTTTATTTTCTTTTTTAAATTTTTATTCTTCTACAGTTTATTTACAAAATTCAAATACATATTTGAACAAATTCTTTCAATTTATGCTTCTATAAAACTATAATTATAACACCTAAATTTATCACTCTCAGTCTTTCCCTCTTAGTAAGTTTTCTTCCATTCTCATTTGTGACATCGATTCCAAGTCTTTGTGCCCAGCACTGTCCATCTTCCCCAAGTCATCTGTCTGTATAAATCCTACCAGGCTTTCATGGCCACGTCTCTCTCCTTCCTTCTCATACTGTGCCATCTTCCTTCACTGGCTTCCATTCTGTACTTCAAACATTTATACAATTTAGTCCTTTATCCTCCTAGTTCTTTAGTGAATTTATGAGTCTTGGTCATTTCTTTTTCCTAACAGTCCCTCAGTGAAAAGCAGGTCTTATATTTCTTTAGACCCTCCCACGGTACTTATAAAATCCTGAGCACAGAACAAGAAATCTATTAATTATAAGCTCAATTTGATCTTCAAGGCATTTAGGGGAAGCCTGAACTAACTATTCAAAATCTTAGGGGAGCTCAGGTGGAGTGGCTGTAGGGAAATGTGCTTCTAACCCAAAGATCATGCCTCTCCGGGAGTTCGAATCCACCAGTGGCTCCCTGGGAGAAAGATGGGCACTCTCTTCCCATGAGCTTAACAGCCTTGAAAAACCTGCGAGAGGGTCAGCTATCAGAACTGGTGATGGGAGGGAGAGAGAGAAAACTAAAAATGCATTCCCTCCCCCCCCCCCGACATGTGCAGGCGACTCAACGGCACATAACAACAACAACATATTAATAATAGTTTATGACAAGATTCCCTTAATGTGTATTAAATTACACATTTAATACATCTGAAAACCTTAAACTCATTGCTATCAGAACCAACCCTTTGCTGACCCTCCAGTGGGTCTTCCAAAACTGTAAATTACACAGGAGGAAACTGGTTAT